CCCCAAAACCCCAAAACCCCAAAACCCCAAAGGCAATAAATATTGAATTGTATCCAGCTGTTGTTACTAGAAATGGCTACTTATTGCCTGTGAAATTCTTGGCCCCTCATGGAACCTTGGCAGACCTTTTAGAAGCTGTTTGGGTAACAGCCTTCTTTTTCTTATTTTCTCGCTTGATCTCATCTAAGATCGCCTGTTGCTGTTGGGCCTCTGAACTTATTCCTTTTACATTAGGCTTGCCCAGATCTGTAATTAGAGGTTTGCTCTTCCTGGACTTAGAAGTCATTGGCTTGGGCACTACATAATTCATAAGCTCTTCTCAGTGTTGGTACGAGTGGAATTTATAGAAGAGGAAAATCTTAAGCTTACTTGAAACCTTCTCTTTCTTCTCTTTAGTTTCCTTAACTGTGGTCTTTTTGAAGCTCTTATTTCCAATGCTACTGTCACTACTTTTGGATGGGATCATTAAAGAATCAGTTTCATTTTTAAAAATCAGGTCTATAGTTTATCAAATACCCATACTTAAGAAAAGAAGATGTTTAGAGGGAAGCCAAGAACATTCCTTCAATGTTATTTCATTCTTTGATTTCTTGCTAAGGTCAATATAATAACGAGATGATTTGTAATGATTCACCTTCTTTCTCAACTTCTTTACCAAATTGTCTTCATGCTTACCAGCATGTAACTGGCCCGTGGCCCAGTTGACCTGCTTGAAAGTCTTGAGAGAAGACTGTCAGAAATGTAGAGAGCTCTCCAGCATCTCTTCTTCACTCTTTTCCTAAAGAATTATGGAGAGTAATTTACTCCTTTCAGTTCAGACCAATGATCATGATAGAGAAGAGATGAGATGAAAAATTTACAAGAACCCACTCCTTTCTTCAACCCAATTTCGTTAAATAATTTTGATGCCATCTTGATGGAACTAAGTGAGAGGCTTATGTCCTTGTATTCCTTACTAATAATACAGAGCACAGCATGAGCTTTATACAGATTTGCCAGACATAAAGTAGATATTCCTTCTTTATTTGAGTATTCTTGAAGAGCTTTCATCGCGTCTCCATCTTTGCTGATCCTATTAGTCATACTAAGAGATTGCTTTATTTAATTACTTACGTGATCAAGTCAGTGATGTAGTATAGAACCATAAGTTCTTCATCAAGATACTGATTATTCTTCATATCAACATTCTCATGATTCTGGGGTAAAGATATCATAGAGTTTAATATTTTCCTCTCTGAAGTATTCTCTACACAAATTTACACAAATAAGTACCAATTGTTGTAGCAGAACTATCGAATTGAGACACTGGTTTCATTCCACGAGTGGGAATCTCCTTCGGTAGGAGAGGATTCCCCATTGGATCTATACTCCAATCAGCATGCTCGATTTTAGTTTGTGTAACTATGATTTCCTCATCAGTTGGATTCTCATCTGCTTTTAGCTCTGGGTCCTGAGTGCTGACATATTCAATATCTCTTCTTCTATTGAGACTTCTATAAATACAGGCCCAGATATTGGTCTCCATATCGGTCAGCTTTTCAATAGTATCTAGAGATTTGTCAGAATTGTATATCTCAATGCAGTAATCTTTGTAAAGCTTGCAGCTTTTCTGATGGAATTCGTACCTTAATTTGTCATCCTCATCGAGGAGTTCTCCAGCCCTAATAGTCATGAAAGGAAGCATATTATATATAAACTTCCCGTTAGCATCAGTCTTGTAAACTAGCAGTGATGCTCGGATTAGAGCATCCTTGAAAGGAATCCAAGAGTTGTCACCCCACATCTGTGTTATTTGGAACTCCCCGATTCCTCCAGGAAATTGGCCAATGAATCCGAAAAAGTTCAATGCCTTTGGATTTGTGTTCTTCATATGGTTTATACTCAGCTCTAGTGAGACTCTTAAAGAGGTGCTGGAATTCTGGTTATCAGTCGAGATCTCCAATGCATCCATCATGTTTGACCTACAGAAATCCAGGAATAGTTCCTTAAGTGATTTGTACTCCAAAAGTGGAGCAGCCAATGAAATAGCCTGAGGATGTCCTCCCAGAAGCAACGTAAACGGGTGATCAAGAAGAGTTTTAGGAGAGTTTCTGTCAATAGAGCTGGATACATTCAACGTTTGTCTTATCTTACAATCTTTTGGTATTTTACATCTCAAGAGTTGATGAATTTCCTGAGGGTTGATATTCCTTGGAGCCTTTGATATCAATAATTTAAGAGATGCTTCCTTTGTCAGAGGACAAAGGATGTATGGTTTTTCATGACCATAAGGTAAGCTGTTCAATGTCTTTCTTGTAGTTAACAAGAAATTTAATTTCGGACAGCTATCTAGAATAGACTGGATCTCAGAGATAAACTTTGTGTTATCATATTCTAGAGGATCTTCAGCATTATCAAGTATTAAGAGAGCTTCCTTATCTCTTAAAATATTTGAAATAAAGTTTCTATATTTCCCTTCATTGTCTTCCTCCTCTTCGACACCCTCTTCTTTACCGTTTTTCTTATTCTTACTTTTATCAATGTCCTCGAGGCCATATCTTTGGATGTCTTCAAGGGAGCAAACGGTGCGAATAATTAAGGAAAGACGAGTCAGAAACATTTGTGAGGATTCTCAGCCTCTCAATGGAAGGTAAATAATTCCGTCACTGAACTTCCTTCTGTCCTTGATATAATTGGCCAGATTTCTAGCTAAGCTGGTCTTACCAATTCCTGGTGGGCCCAAAATAGATACCAGCCTGTGATTATTAAGATGCTTGATAATTTCATACATTTCCTTCTGCCTTCCAATAAAGCCCTCTACATTGGAAGGATTTGAGGTGAACACAGGGATTTCATTCATGTTTGTAAGTCACCCAGTTTTGAAATTGGTCAATGCATTGCATTTATGTCTTTTCTTACTAGAGGCGAACCCATACATGTCTTGTTCGGCTGCAGAAGACTTAATCTGATCATCATCTTGAGTCAAAAGCATGAACTTATTTGCCTCAGTAGAGTTAATCACCTTATCAATTTCTTCCTTAGCGATCCTGAAAGAAGTTCAGACATTGTAATGCTTCACAAACAAGGTTTCGTAAAACACCTTAGAGAATCTCAGAGAGGCTCGATCAGAGATCTTCTCACCTTGCTGGATGCATATAACATGCTTCGCACCAGCATTTAGGAAAACCTTTCCTGCAAATTGTGAATGACAAGAAGACACAAATACAACTTCTAAGTCAGTGTTTGCTTCTTGGATCATAGTTGTGAGATCTTTTTCAAATAAATAGTAGGACTTCCCCTGCTCATCCTCCAAAAGCAGGATGTTACCTTTATCTTCGTTAATATAGAAATCACTTCCAATATTATCGTAGGTATTCTCAATTCCATGACCTGAGAAATGAAGAGCTATGGGCCCATCAGTGATGATACTTCTCATGTTACTGACTGTTGCAACTTCTAGAGCAAATTAGATGGATTTTATAAATTTTTACCTTCTTTGTACTTCATTTCGTACTCCATCTTTGAACAGACTTTTACTATATCTTGAATCTCAGTGAGATAATCAAGCTGCATAATATTTTCCGTTTTGCCATTAATCTCTCTGATAAGCGGCGAAGAATACATAAAAGCAAGATGAAGTCTAGAATTGGTCATATCAAGTGGGATTATTTTTCCTTCGCTCTTCATTTTCTCAATATGAGTATCCCTGACCTGTATAGCTCTCTGGGCGATCCTGAGCTTTTCTCTATACGATTCACGCTCCTTGATAAGCTTAAGTATCATTTCCCCCTTTCCGTGAGAGCCTAGTTGATCCAGACTCTCTTGTGACTCTAGCTTCAATGCTTCCTTTGTGATCAAATTTGATTGGACTTTCTTGAGATTGATATCAGCTATATCGGAGTTAACACACTGTTGAAATTACAACTATCTCGAAAGTAGCTAAAATCGTCGACCAGTTCATCAAATTCTATATTATTTCCTTTGAGATGGACGTTGGTTGAGACTGCATTGGTCACTGTAAGCTTTGCTGTATTGTCAATTTTAATCTCTATACATCAGGGGTTATTATTTACCGCTAGATTGAGCTGGAACAAGATCATGTGCTTCATCAAGCATTTCTATATGATAAATCTACACACTGTACCGTCGGAGTCTTCAAGATCTCCCATAAGCATGTCATCCATTCCTTCCATATCAATTCCATCAAACTCAAATTTCTTAGCTGAAGATTTGGCCTCTTCCTTTTCAGTGGTAGTATTCTCCACAGAAGTAGGAGTCTCCTCTATAGGAGTATCTGTCTGGACCTCCTTTGTGCCTGTCTGGACAGGAGTCCTAGTCATGGCCAGTACTTCTTTACTAAAGGTTTTTGAATCAATCTCGATAGTCTTGAAAGGAGGAAATTTTGCCTTAAGAGTAACCATTTTAGTATCTTTCGATACAATCGTGAAACGCATTTCAGCTCATAACCCTGTAAAGTCAGAAACCTTAGCAATTTGAGCAGTAATAGATTGTGGCTTTGTTATTTGTGGGGGACCTCCTGGAGGTCCAACAGGCACTACTGAACTTGAAGGAGGCCTAACAGATACTACTGTCTTGGTAGGAGGTCTAAAACCTCCAGGTGGAGGTCTAATAACACCAGGTGGAGGTCCAATAATACCTGGAGGAGGTCCTACAGGTACTTTAGTACCAGGAGGAGGCTTAACTCCAACAGATGGTAGGAACCTTGGTGGAGGACCCACCGGCCTTTTAACCCCTTCCGGAGCTGCAACTGGTATTTTAGGTAATATTTTACTTTCCTCTAACTGATCCTATAACTCATGTCACCGGATCCCTCATCTTACTTACGTTTCTGACTTGTGGTGTTTCTTCCTTCTCATCTTCTTCCTCCTCTTCTTCAGATTCCTGATCAGCACCTGGTGTGAAGAAAGACTATATAGATAAGCTAGTGGGCCTACCGTCTCTTTGCCCTTGAACCTAAACATCTCAAAAGTGGCTAGATAGTCTTGAGCCTTTGAAGCCTGGGCTTCAGGCTCTTTAGGAGCTGAGAGGGCATTAGATTTGACTGAATGAGCTAGAGAAAGCTCTTTTTCTTGCATCTGAGATCTAGACTTCAGCAAAGCATCCTGAGCAGCAGAATCAGGAGAGTCTTTATTTGCTTTATTTGTAAGCTCAATATTCTCATCCTCACTTTCAGGATATTTTTGGGCTATCTTTTTGCCTTGAACTTGTTTGGGAACCTAAAAATAAAAATTTAACCTGTTAATAACATACTTTAACAGGCGAAGCTCTTGAGCTAGAGGAAGATGAACTAGAGTGCTTCATTTTCTTTAGTCCTGATCTTTCTCTACTTCTTTGCAATCTTGTAGATCTTCTTCCCTCATCCTTGGCTGAAGCTATAAACAGATCATTAGAAACTCTGAATCTCCAAGTAAGGGGTAAAATACTGACAAATAGGGCATCAAAGGTATTTTAAAGATCCTGTCTGATCTTTAAAATGAGGAAGGATTCTTACAACTAGACCTATCTATGCTACCTTCTTTCTTATAAATCTTCCTACTTGAAGGTCTGAAGTCTTTATCTTCTCTTGCTGGAGACCTAAAGGAGAAGTTTATATTGCGCAACATTTGAGTCTTACAAACTATGAATATCTACAATGCTTCTTCTACTTAAATTTTCACTAGAAGCAGAATCAATACTCTGACTTCTTTTACGCTTGTTAAAACTTTGAATAACTTTCTTCTGATCTTTACTAAACTGCTGGCTACCAATAAGTTCCAAGATATTCTGATCTTTAGCGTATTGAGACAGTTGTTGTAAAAGATCTTGCACTTTTTCTTTCCGAGACTCTTCTGTTTTGTCTTCTATCCCTATTTTCTCACTATCCCTCTTCTGCCCCAAACCTGGCTGCTTCTCCATCGGATCCAACAAATTCACCTTCGTAGGGCTCATCCTACAACATCACTGTAACAATCCTACTTCAATTTCCTCCCTTCAAACAGATTATCAAGTTCAAACCCTAACAAATTATCTCCTTCCTTTAAATCCCCTTCTTTAAGATAATTCTCTTCCATCTCTTCATCACTAGAGTCTTTGCTCTTATCTTCTTCCTTGACCAGGTCTGTGTGACCTGTGATCCCCAGTTTCTTGTCTTTATGATGTGAAAACCCGAACATACTTTCCATATTACTTTTATTCATTTTTATGGATTTTTAGGGGTTTTGGGGTTTTGGGGTTTTGGGGTTTTGGGG